GAGCTAGGCCCAAGGGCCAGGTACAAAGGTGACAATTCACAGCCAAACTAGACTGTAGCTGAGAGAGTTCTCCTCTTCTTGCTGTTGCTGGGGGTCGTACAGCCCCAGATCATCTTGGTTGTGATGTAGGGCCCTTAGACAGCAAGAACCAGAAGAGCAGCAGTTGTGTTGCATGCCCAGGTATTGGTGTGGAGGTGACAACAAAGACCAGAGTGGTGGCTGGGAGCTGGCTTGTCTCTGACTTTGTAGGCTTGAGAAGACACTTTCTGCACATTGGTCATTTAAACAGTGCGAGCCCATCTTCGGCTTCTCATCATTTGTGAAGCACAGACAAAAACTGTGATCACTCCCTCGCAACCATAGTTATCCCACCTGTCCTTGGCTGTAGACCATGACTCTTCTACTCCAGGTTCGGGGAGTGATAGTTTGTAGCCCTGGAGGTAGCTGTTTCAAGCCCTAGGTTCCAGCTGTGCTGACAGCTCATTCACCAGCCCAGCTTCTCCACTCAAATGCACTGGAGTGGCAATTCAGTCTCCACCTTTCAGCTCAATTTCATGCGTGCTAATTTGGGGGAAACGGAGGAATCTTCCTCCACTGAGTTACCCTCTTTTAAATCCTGATTTAAGACTTGTCTCTGACAGCTACAAACCATTCCCAGCTGGCAAAAACTGATTTTTTTTTTTCAGCTGTTCTGTATTGTTACTTCCTGCCACCCTCTCCTTTAATCCTTGCTCCACCCTCCACACAAAAAAAACCTCTACCCAAGCAAACACGTTGGGAGAAGTGTTTCACCTTACAGCACCCAGCACAAAGGTGCTGGACCCTTAAACTCATTTTCCTCAGTGTGAGTGGGTTAGGTCTGTGCCCAGATTATCCCCAAAATGAACCAGTGTCGTATGCACAGCTGTGGAGGAACAATCTGGCCCTCACCAGGGAAGAAATGGTTAATTTTCTGCCTTGCAGGAGAGCACTTTTGGCACCAATTTCAGTGCAATGACTCACTGGGGCCAGGTGGGACTGGAAGTGCAAAGACCCCATCGACAGTGGAGCAGGGAGCAGCTTGGGAATCCCACGGCAGCCTCAGCCCTTGGCTCCTCAGAGCCAGGAGAAATTCCAGCTGTGGCCTTACAAGGCCAGAATGAGGAACTTGCTGCAGTGTCCTGACTGAAGCCGCTGCCAGGCACTCTCTGCACGAAGAGCTTTGCAAGCCCTTGCCTGGGGGCTGGTGGAGGCTGGAAGAGAGGGATGGGCACCAAGAACACTCTGTCATAGCTCCGCACTTAAGGATTTCAAGCAGTGCACTTTTACCAAGATATTCTGCTTACACAAAATTGCTTTTGCCTGCCAGCTCCTGAATCATATCCAGCCCTCCGGAGGGAAGTCATGTCTCTCTTGCAGCCCATTTATGGGTGAGGGATATTGGTAGCAAAGTGTGTGTTGCCACCCCATGAGGACTGCAGTCTTTGGTATAAACCTAGAGCTGGGAGGAGAGATGGAAACACATAGGATGAGCCAGGCAATTCAGAACAGTCTGGGAGAAACGGGCAGCCATTTCAGCTCCTTTTGGCACCAGTAAGCACTATAGTGCTCAGGACTGGGCAGGATTTGGTCTTGAGGTGAGTCCCACCTTCTCTATACTGGAGCTACTCAGCCTCTTGGAGGCAATGCTGGGGGACAGGCACTTCCAGACAATGACTCAGCCCATCCTAAATGCTATCCAGAACAGATGGGATGGATTACTCTCTGGAGGTGTCTTCCCCTGCCTGGAGAGGGATTAGATGCAATGCCCAGCTTTCTGATGACTGAGTTGGGAAAGCTGAATCCCACCCTTTATTTTTACTGGGGATGAGGTAAAAGCTACAGGAGAATGAACTATATGGCCTCCCTTATTCTGTTTGCTTTGGAGCAAAACCATGTGCACGTACACACACTTGTACATGTGTTTGTGTGTGTATATATATTACACAAATTCAAAGTTGTGTGTGTGTTTTGTGTAGGTTTTTTTTTTTTTTTTTCCAAAATTGCAGAGACAAGTACATGATAGAGATGCCAGAATCCAGGCTGTCTGTACATGTGCATTAAAATATGACAGAACTACTTCCTGGGAAAAACTGACTCAAACTCCATGGAAATTACTTCACTGTGACAAAAATAAGAGACAGAAAGGAGAGAGAATGAAAGGAGGGTGCAGAGAGGCAGTCCCAGCCCCACATTTGGTCCCTGTATGTGTGTGGAGCAGTGCTGCATTTTCTAGGAAAGTCTGTTTCAGTTCCCTCCTGACTCCTCTGCAATTCTAGCTTGGATGCTGTGTACACACAAACTACGCTGCTGCTCTGTGTTGTGTATCCTTTTCTTTTCCTTTTCTTTCGGCTGAACACAAGCAAGAATGTCAAAATGAATTTCTGAGTACTCTGGAGGTGAGATGCATTCTCTCTGCAAGAAGGCCAAAGCAAGATTATTTTTCTTCTTGCCTTGTTCTCAGAAACCACAGAGCTGTTTGGGCCCAATAAATCCCTCTGAGAAAAGTGTGGTTTGACAGAATTGAAAAAAAAAAAAAAAAAAGAAAAGAGGGGTTTTGCAATGGGAAAGGTCAAGTGATGTTAATTATAATCAGAGCTATAATATGGATAATGGAACTTGGGGAGTTTCCCTCCAAATCATTGCTTCTAGGCACCTCTGTTTCTCTCCCTTGCCTACCCTGGGGGGGAGTGGAGGAGGAGGGATGTTGTACATGGGGAGCTGTTGTGGTCTCATTGTTTCTTGCTTTAACATCCTGCCCAAAATTTCCTTCAGCAGAGGTTGGCATGAAGGCCTGATCACACTCACACAGGACAGAAGCTTCTTCATTTTTCACTTTCTGCTTACTTTGATCCCATTTTTTGAGGGACAAATGCATAGGCCACTCTTGTTATCATTAAATGAATCCAAGAGTCCTTTTCTCCACTGTGTGATTCCTGCTTTGCCCTTCTGCACATGCATGAGAGATGGTTTGGCCTACTGGGTGGAAAGCTGGAAACTCCAAGTTTTGGAAAGCTCTCCATTTCTGGCCTTGACATCATTACTAAAGTAGTCTGTGCCTCAGTTTTCACTTCTGTAAAATAGGACTGTGAATGTTTGAGTGTCCATCTGAAGGGTGATGTCATGTATTATCTGATGCATTTTTTACAATACAAAGGCTACTGTAAAAGAGGAGATGAGAGAGCATAAAGGCTCCCCTTCTTTTTCTAATAATGGCTATTTAGCTCATCTTAGCAAGATCTCTATGCACTGTTAGACTGGGGAGAGAGCCCTCAAGTTTGCGACAGGCACTCATCTTCTTGAAGGTTTATTTTGGTGCACATCATGATGTGAACCTAGTGGGGTTCTCCCCTTCTCTTTGAAAGAGCCTCTTCCACCAGCATTTGGTTTAGTATTCTTATCTATGAAACACTCATAAAATGCATGGTGGTGAGATGTGGAGCAATGTTCCAGCTAAGCAAGTGGAGGGATGAATCCTGTGATACCTAGAGGTGAAAATGGTTTATACAGAAGACAGAAGCAGGCAGGGAGGGACTCCAGACCTGGCTCCAAAATGTTTGAAGCTATGGAAAATATTCCCTGTAATTTCAGATGAACTGGAAGCCAAGTAACCAGCTGGGAGGATTAGAGATTCCACTGTGGTGGGTAATTTGTTTGCAGTTGCATCACTGCATCGTCAGCTTCAGTGTGGAATCCAGAGGGATATTGATGACACAGTTTGATCAGTCCTTTGAGCTCCTTTCCAAACTGTCTTTACATAGCAACATCAGGCCTAGAAACGTGGCTTCCAGCACTGCTGATTACCTTTTTTTATTTTTTCTGGGCAAGCCCTTCACATATTTCCCTGATAGGCATGAGAGAAACCTTTAAATGCTGATGAGTGCACCATATTATTTCCTGCATAGCTTTCCTTGGAATTTGAAAGGCTTAATGGTGTCCAAGAAAGGGCAGAGCTGACAAGCTGCTGATCCCTCCACTTACAGATATTGGCTTATATTCCTCCCACATGTTTTGCATCCAAATACATCCAAATCCAAATGTATGTTTGCATGGACAGAGGCTGCTTTTGGGCATCTTCTCTCAGGTGGTCTTACTAAGCTGAAGTTTGTCTCCATGAAAACACAGCTGCATGGCTTCTAAATCAAAGTTGGTCGTACTGGGGAGAACTGGACACATCTGCACTCTTCCTGCTGGCTTATCCTCAGTGGTCTTTCCCATCACCCAAGAACCTTAACCTCTCTCACTATGAAGTCATCTTGATACTAGCTTTCTGCACTCTGGTTGCCTATATTTACATAGGATGACAAACAGCAGAGCAATATAATGTTGGCATATTGCTGGAAAAAAACCCATGCCTGGGACAAAACTGACTAGCAGGTAGAATCTGCGATGACTAGTCAGGGCTTCTTTTTGTATCTTATTCATTTGAACATATTAGCTTAAACTTTTGCTAAATGCTGGAACTAGTCATTAGAGTATGTATATACCAGTCGGTATCCTGATTATGAACAGAGCATGTGCATCCTTGCCATTTTAGAGGTATTTCAACTTACAAGTAACCTTTTCAGCCATATGCCACTTAACAGCTTACTGCAAGTCTAGAGGGCTTTAGAAGAACTCCACAAGACTTCTGGTATTAGTCAACATTATTCAGTATCCCTTAGTTGAGGAAATGGTTCTCCCAGTCACTGGGAGCTTTTATCCTAGTTGTCATGAGTGATTTTTAAGCTTAGTTAGGTCCAGGCACACACCTTTGCAAGATCCTTTGGGCAAGAGTTGTTCTTTCATCTTATATTTGCATAGAACCTCACACAACAGAGATCAGGCTTTGAAACAGGGAAGGACATCCCAATTTTATTCATGAGCCAAACAGACAGTGTAGAAATATCTATAAGATCAGTAAACATCTTACGAATTAAATTCTTGCCCACTAAAGCAGCGACAGCTGTGTGTACTGGTCTCTTTTTCTCTTCTCTTTTTAGACCAAAGAAGCTCTCTTCACAATTCTCCAGGACCTAAGGCCTGAAGACCGCTTCAATATCATTGGCTTTTCCAACCGGATAAAGGTCTGGCAGCAGGACCAGCTGGTGCCAGTAACGCCAAATAATATAAGAGATGCCAAAAAGTACATTCATAACATGTCGCCTACTGGAGGTATGATCCAGAGATATGAACGGGATTAATTTTGCTATCCAATTAACTACAACAGAATGGAGAGTGGTGAATGCGGTCCTATAGCATGTAGCAATAAAAAGACATTGGGACTTAGGTCATGGTACAAGGGGGCTCCTTCTCCACTTCCACTCAGGGTTATGTGACAGAAGGATACGTACAGTTTATCAGCGTATATGATGGGAAGCGGTCCCCAGATCCAGTCATAGGACCCGATATACTTATTAAAGCCAAGTTGGGCCCATTTTCCCATTTATCTGGTGAGAACCTTGGAGTGGGAAAGTTCCCAAGGTTATTTCTTGAGGACACAGGAAAAAATACCATATCCTGGTGAAGGATGCACAGGGCCAGTACTTACGCTGTTTTTGAAAGCCTGTGTAAAAGCAGGCACATGGTTTTGTGTGGGCTGGAAACTCCAGGGATGGACTACCCCGTGTGGCTGTGAATTGCCTTCTGCAAGAGCTAGTTTCTCACTTAGTACTGTCTTATTCTTGTCTCTACCAAGGAGCAGCAAGAATGACATTTAAGAATTTCTTGTCCCTTTTTGCTTGTGCCTTGTTGCCAGGAGTGAAGAGGGGAGAGGAGGAGACTCCACAACACTGGCAGAGTGCAGGCATGATTTTGAATTTGATTCAGTGGTCTCCTATGAGGCTATGGACACTAGTATATAAAAAACATAGTGAAGTTTGTAATCAAACATACTTTGGCAGCTGTGCCCATCCTAGCTGAGCACTCCCCAGGTAAGCAGAGAGCTGCAAAATGACCTATGCAAATCCTTCCCCATGCAAGCAGTCACAGCTGGTTGAAGGTCAGAGAGGGCCTTCCCATGGCTGCCCCTGAGCAGTGACCACTCCTAGCAAAGGAAACTCTCTGATGGAAAAACACGGCAAACAGGATGGTTTGCAGTACTGTTTGCCTTGTGAGAGGAAGAGTTGAGGAAGTGGGCAAGGGACCAGTCCAGTTAAACAATTACCAACAGTGGGACTAAACTCTGAGTACAAAGCTTTTTACTCCTGAAGTGCCAAAAGAGCTGTGCAGGAACGAGCTGAATTTGCCCATGAACCTGCCAGAGAACAAAAGTAAAATTATTAGCTCAGGTTCAACAGGAAGGTGCAGTGATTCTCCACCACAGGCCAGTGGTACTTTAGTTTTGGCTAACTCTGCATCTTCCCTATAAAGATGCTGTTGCTTGAGTATCTTCCAGCAAACATGAATGCACTCAGGCTCACAGATCACACACGTGAAGAATGTGCTGTGCTTACACCTTTGTGTCATACTCACACACCAAAGAAATGGGAATAAAATATTGCTGCTGAATATTTGTGCATACAGCAAAAGGCAGTTTTCACTGCTTGGTAGCTTCTGTGATATGGCTGGGTTTGGAATGACTCTATCTGCCACATGGGATGGTTTTCTTTTGTTTCTGGGAAAAAAGATTTTTTTTCTGATATTTTGGATCTGGATGGAGGCTGAAAGAGTATTAGGATATTTAGGTGCAGGGTTTTGGTTCAAAACCATTTTGCAAAAAACACAGTCTGGCTTTTGAGGACTTTTCAGAAGTTTTAGCCCCTTTCCTGTTCCTTGTCTCGCTGCAGGCACTGGAGCTGTGCACACTAAGTTTCCAGGTACATGATGCATGGTCAGACCTGCTAGGACATCCTTGCTGATAACCTCCCTAGATCTCCCTTTCTGGACCCCCAGGAGTCTGTTGTGTATGGCTCTTAACCCATTTCACCTGCTTTTCTTCTGAGAGCTGTTTTTAACCCAGATGTACTGATCTTGCACAGGTTCCACAACCAACCCCTCTTTGCTGTGACTAGCATGAAATACATGGAGCAAGGAGATACCCGTACTCATTTTCCTGCTTTCTTTTTCCTGAACACACAGTAGGCTTGGATCCTTTTCATGGCTATTCTTGTAACATACATCTGTTCCCTCATTTACTTTCTGTTTTCTCCCTCTCTCCCCACTTCAGGCAGCTCCATTCTTCACTAGCCATTTGTTTTGTGAAAACACACTCCTCAGCTAACAAAGCCATTTCTCTTCCCTTTAAACTTTGTTAGCCCCTGGGGTTTGAAGAACAAACCCAACTATTTGTTTTCCCATTTGAAGGCTTTTTTCCTCTCTTCAAATCTTGTGCCCTTCAGACAAAGCGAGCAGAACTTGTTTTCCTAGTTTGGATTTCATCTGGGAGAGTCCCGTAATTAACTATTTTTGTATGTACCAGCAGGACATGGTATGTGCTGTGACTCTGCTTACCACGGCTGATTATTGTACATTAAGACATTCAAGGACACAGCAATTTCACATAATAAACTGCAATTCATAATTCAATTCATAAGATTATAAACAGCCATCTCAAACTGGTGCTGAGTAACAGAGCTGAACAGAATTAAAGGGCTAGTGCAACCTCACATAGAGAAAAGGAGCATCCTGATGAACAGAGATGCTGTCATCATATTAAAGGGAGCTTAGGGAAATTATTTTACCACTCTTAGAAGCAGAAATGAGCTAATAATTTTGGTACCTTCCCAGGGACTAATATTAATGGTGCTCTCCAGGCTGGTGCAAAGCTGCTAAATGATTACATTGCTCAGAACGACATTGATGCCAGAAGCGTCTCTCTGATCATCTTCCTCACGGATGGGAGGCCCACTGTTGGGGAAACACAGTCATCCAAAATCCTCAGCAGCACCAAGGATGCCATCCGTGATAAATTCTGCCTCTTCACCATTGGCATTGGCAATGATGTGGACCACAAGCTGCTAGAGAGGATGGCACTGGAGAACTGCGGCATGACGAGGCATTTCCAGGAGGATGAGGATGCAGCCAGCCTCCTCAAAGGGTTTGTTCTGCTTTTTCTGTGCTTATATCTGCATTGGGTCCTCTGGGCAAGGGTTTTGGGAAGGAAAATCCTCCAAGAAGACATCACAAGAAATGGGAGATTCTCTGAGGCTCAACTGTGGTTGAGAGAGGCAGAGTACGCTCAGATACTGAGGAAGCCAACCAGAAATTGTCTCCTTCCTGGCAGACCCCATGAGCTGTACTGGAGCTTCCCAGCCCCTCAGAACAAGGCATCGATGATCTGCCAAGGTCCCTTCCAACCCAAAGCATTCTATGATTCTATGATTTGTTTCCCTAATTCAGATCATTGTTTTGGGCATGTAAACCTGGAGAGATGGGAGGCATGAGTGCCACCTCTCTGCAGGTGGATGGAGGGAGGAAAGGATGCATTGCTCACTTCAAATTGACAAGATAAACAGCATTGAGGGCCTCAGAAATGAAGATCTCAATTTGGGGCAGAAAATTATTCCTTTGTTTTTTGAAAACGATAACTTTTTGCCCAAACTCCAAAATATTCAACTTTAAAAAATACACAAGGGTCATTCCTGGGATGACCATATAGTTGCTTCGTTCCCTCATTCTTTGTGACCCAAACTCCTAACAAGTTTCCTGTAATCCTCATCATTCAGTAGGACCAGAGATTATGCTCCTCGTCTATGATCAGGGAGCTGTAGTCCAAGGGGAGACCCTAGTGAGGAACAGCAAAAAGATATCTGAACTACAGCTCTGTTAAAAATGTCAGGCAGCACGTCAGTATTTCCAGGCAGAAATGTTTGGCTTTCACTCCCAAAATGTTAGCGTTTTGAACCTCAGAAATCAAAAAGAGACAGTCATTGATCAGAGACTTCTCATTTTGCCTGGATATTGTCTATTTTATCTGGAGCAATGAGACCATGCACTTTCCACTAGAGCTGTTCTTTCTGTCATGGTTATACTAGGAGAAGAATGTGTTCCTTTTAAACCAGACTTTGTAGATCCATCTGCCACTCCACCCATGTCATTTGCTTCTCCGAACATGCATTTTGGATAGTGAGTGGCATTGCCTGGCAAACGAAGGATGTGCTGATTGATTGGGCTGCAGGAACCCAGCACTGCAAGTATTTGTTCAAACACCTCTATCTGATAAACAGCTCACTGTTTATCAAGCTCAGTGATGGCAAACCCATTTGGTGCCAAATTTATACAGAAAAGCACAATCACTTGCTGGAGGACAATTCAAATCACTGTTGGCAGGAAAATCTACATGGGTGCCAATGTATTTTCTGATTTTTGTGGTCAGTGGGCTGTATTTTTTACACAGGTACTTCCTTGCATTGTACTATAAGACAGGTTGTATCTCACTCCACCATTTGCTACAACCCAGGAGTTATTTCACAGAAAGTTCTCAGGTTCAATTCACTCATGTTTTAAAATGTGACAAGGTCTCTGCATCAAAGACACTGAGTGCTCAGAGAGACTTCAAAAGAAAGTCAACCAATTCAGGCTTTTGGTTTCCTTGGAGAGAGAATAAACCAGAAAGTGTGACTCTAGCTTCCAGACAATCTGTTTAAGCAGATGGGAAAAATAAATGCAGCTTGAACTAAAAAAGGGCTGAGGCCAATTTCTTGTTTATTTACCCAATTAGACTCAAATGACTTGCCAAAAGATGAGGAGTCTGGCATTTAAATGGGAAATATGGCATTCTTGGAGCAGCTTGGGAAGATCCATCAAAAGCACATTGCTGCAGGAAAAACACAGTACTGTAAACTTAGGCCTTGACCCCTTGTAAAGGCTTTCTGGCCTGTCCAGTGTGAGGTATTCTCAGAAGTATGGTAGGTCACGGTAGCAAGGCATTAAACTCTCTGGTTCCACAGAAGCCATTTCTTGCTCCAACAGAAAATTAGCAATAAGGTAGCAGTGAGTTCTCTTCTGCCAGGCTGCCTGTATTTAGTAGTTAGGATTCCTCCGTTCCTTGGAAGTGACCTCATTTATGGGGGCATAGTGAGATTCCTTCTTGATTTTCTTTCTCCTTTGGCCCTCAGAAAACTGTATTCCTGCCTGTCCTACACTGACCATCCCAAACAGTAGTGTCTAGGGCTCTTCCGGTGATACAGAAGCTTTAGTTCAGATACTTGCCAGCTTTGGGGGACCTAGCATCTTGGTCTTAACAGTTTCTGACTCTGGAATACCATGCATAACACCACTAGAAAACTGTGGGTCACAGCATCTTTTCTAAGTACACTTCAAAATAACTAGGGTGCTTTCTGTGAGTCTGAGAAGCCAAGAATTTACTTTTAATGGACAGGTCCTCTTAAGTAAATTTAAGTGGTCACAAATATCTCCTTGCAGAGCTCTGGAATCATAATGGAAGGTAGGTGACTGCCAGGGCATGCTGGAATGCTTCTGAACATGCTTAAGAGACTCTGTTTAGATGCCTGAAAACTAAAATGAGGCAGAGAATAATTTTGGTTGAAAGGGACCACTGGAGGTCATGTAATCCAGCCTTCTGCTCAGAGAAGAGTGAAATTAAAATTTAGGTGACGTTTTTCAGGGCCTTGTCCACTCAAGTTTTGAAAATCTCTAAGCGTAGAGACTCCCCCATCTCTCTGGGCCCAGTTACAGGGGATGCAGTAGTTTAATTTTGGGTCTGGTAGCTCTAACTGCTTCTGAACATCTTAGGAGCCATATTAGATAGTCTGACTGTATCCTTGGTCATGTGTTAAGTGCAACAGTGTGTGCATACACTCGGATGAACAGTACTAATGGTGAGAAATGTGTCTTTGTTTAAGGTTCTATGATGAAATAGGAACACCCCTTCTCTCTGACATCCGTATTGATTACCCTGAAGACAACGTCGAGCAAGTCACCCAGAACTTCTTCCCTAACTACTTCAATGGCTCTGAAATTGTAATAGCTGGCAAACTCATCAACCACAGCTCAGATAGCCTCCATGTGGAGGTGACTGCTAGCAACTCCAAGAAGTACATCCTCCTCAAAACAGATGTGGAATGACATCAGAGGTGTCCCTGGCCTGGAAGATGGCAAAGGTGATAACAATTACATTGAGAGGGCATGGAGTTACCTCACCATCAAGGAATTACTTAACTCCTGGTTGAAGAGTGATGACAGTCAGGAAAAAGACTATTTGATGGAGAAAGCCAAGTCAATGGCCCTGACTTACAATTTTGTTACTCCCTTCACTGTTCTGAAGATGCGAGAGGCTGGGCTCCATTCAGAACCACCTCAAGAGGAGTTTATCAGCCCTTCTACTGATGGCATTGGTGAGAAGTTGCAGAGCTTGCAGGGACACAAGGCACCACCAGGTATGAGGGAAAAATAACCATGTGCTGGTGAGAAATCTTTTTGCATAGGTAACAAGTCATGGCTGACTTTGGCAACAGGGATGATCTAGCTAATGAACCGAGGGGTGGTAAACCGAAAGCTGAGATTTTCATGTTGATTTTGCTAATTGTGGACTGGGTGACCTTAAGGAAACCTTTCAGGCACCTGACTCACCCTCTGGAAGCACTGACTGCTCTGTAGAAATTATTGAAGAAAAAATGGTATTCTAAATGAAGCTTAAAGTAGCTGCAGGAATATGTCCCATAATCTTGCTGAATAATATTTTGGGAACATTATTATACTATGGCTCTTTCTTCTGCTCAATAAATAATTGTAACAGCCTTCCTTCCCCACTTCTAGGTATACGCAGGCAGCAAGATAAACAAAGAATTAAAATCTCCAAAACTTCAGGTCAGTGCCTGTTTTCATGCCTTTAATAATACAAAATAATTGTGGTTGATTTATGGAAACCTCAGTTGCATGCCACTGTGGTATAACCACCCTGATGGATCAGCCAAAATCCTATTTACTAGACCTGCAGAGTAGGGAGGAAAATGAAAACAAAAACAAAATAGAGAGAGGATCAGTGATGAGAAGCAGTGGGAGGAAACACAGCAAGGCAGATGATCTACAAAACTCGATCCTCATGTTTGAGACTTCTGTAGATTAGGGGAGAACAGGAAGCACCTTCTCGCCATTCTAGAACTAGTCAAAAACCATTTTGTGAAGTAATGTTGCTGAAACATAGAAAGTGTTGTTGAAGGGAAAAAAAAAGAGAGAATTCTATAGTGTTTTGCTATTTCTTTGTTGGCTCTGCACCTCTACTTGACATCCATTTCATACATTAAACACTGAAGAATAAGCCCAGATCAAGAATTTAGACTTGAATTTCACTGGATAAGGTCCTTAAGATACCTTAAAAACTAGTGTTTTGGCTTGTCTTATTATTAATAACAGCTATCTGATAGTTGATGACAGGTCAAGGGTTGTTGAAATATTAAGGTTGTGGGGTTGTTTAAAATCTGCTGTTGACCGCTCCAACCTGATATTGATGACCAGGAAGGTTCAGTGTGAGGCGTGCTCATGCAGTAGTCCTTGGTTAGAGGATACATTTTTGTGTGCTGTGGGGGATGTAGCCTCCCAACAGAGTATGGAGGAGTGTAAAACACCTGCATGACAATTCCCATAAATCACTGAAATGATATTCCAGGAAGAAAGTACCCTGATTTTCACCTGGGAAAAACAAAGCAAAACTTGGCATTTCCTGGCAAACTCCATCTGACCCTCTAAAAACAACAAACTGGGAGGTCTTAGAAAAAACAGGGACAAACAGAATTTGAAAAGCGGTTTTGTTATATTCTTGGACACTGCAGGTTTGTGTAAGTCTCTCACATTTGTCTCTTTTTTCCATGTCTTCTCAGCGGATGGAGACCCTCACTTTGTCATTGATTTTCCCTCCAGCAAGATCTCTGTCTGCTTCAATATTGATGGAGAACCAGGGGACATTCTCCGACTGGTCTCTGATCATAAGGAATCTGGTGAGCAGCCAAGCAAAGCAGTTGCTTGTGGAGGAAAGCTAATGTGCAAGGCCAGCTCTCTGGCAATAAGACTAAGCACAAAGGTGCTTCATAGGCAAGAAAGTGGCAGGAAATTAGAAAAAGTTGTTTTTCTGGCCAGGCAATGGAACATTGGCGCACATGGGTTTTCTGGCTCTAATCACCTGGATTAGAAGGGGAGGTAAACTGTTCACTTGCACTTACTGACCTCCAACTTTATCGTAATTTATGGGTAAATTCACAGCAAGCCTAAGCAAGGGGGAGGCCTGGCCACTGTTACATACACAATTCATCTATGGAAGTGTCTGCCGACAGATTAGACCTAACCATAGAGAGAACTGGCCTTTATGTGTATCCATATTCAGGTATTCAGGTCTTCCTTGACTGGAATCAAGGGAGCAGCAATTACATGTAAACAGCCAAGACACCCACTTGAGTGCATGAGGACCACATTGCACCCCTTCAGTCCAGCTCGACTGGAGAGCTCAGTTCCTGATGATTAGACCCAGTATGGTCTGGGGGTTGCACTTGACCAGTGCTACAACAGCCACAGCTGAATGAACAGCCACAGGCATTTTGCATAATGCATGTCGTGGTTGCATACACCACGCAGCCACCTCTGTGTGGAGAGATTACGCAGGGGTTTCCTTTCTGGTGCAGAGGCATTTGCATTTCTTTGATGGTGCAACTTCATCAGCCTTCTAGTTACAAACTCACAACATGCAAATAAAAGATTTGGACTCACCAAAATTGCTGTCATTGGAACTTCACTTTTTATTGTTTGCTTCAGGACAGAGCAAATTATCCAAACAGGCTAACCAAGCACTGAAGCTGTTTCAGTGAAGGGACCACCAAGCTGGTTACTGAATCATGACAGCCTTGAGGAAACCCACACGATTCAGGATCTGCTTTGCCCAAGCCAGTCTGATCCCCAGGGGCCCAGTCTGTGGTCTGATCCGATCTGGAATTCTAAGCAGAGCAGCTAATAAGCAGATTACATCCTGAGCAGGGAAACAGTGGGAGGAAGGGGTGTCAAAACCAAAGAAATTGCACAGACTTGTTTTACAAAGAAGATGAACAACAAAGTTACAAGAATTCTGTTCTGTGTGGAAGCGGTCTAGCCTCCATAGTCCTGTGTTCATGTCTGCCTTAGTGAATAAGATTCAGCTCCTGGCAATGGTTCCCTTAAGCTTCTTTCACAGACTGTGTTTGTGCTACAGCTTTGAGCGATTCTGTGGCTCAAATGTGGAATGAGCTTGAGAAAAACAGACTCTGTAGCACTAGCAAGTTGAGTCTGTGAAGGCAGAGATGACACATTCCATCAGCAATGATGGGATATGGAAATATTTTATCTCAGTGTTGATGGCTTGGGTCTAGCTTGGGTTAACCACAAATCTCCTCCTCGTTACTGTGTACTAGCTGTTCAGAGGCCCATGGGAAGTGAGACACTACCTTAAGGACAGGAAGTCACAAAAATAAAAAATGATTGGGAATCTTAGTGTGAACATCTAGGCTTCAGCTGACTCAGCGGGATCTGCACCTTAGATTGCTCAAAAGTGGTTCTTTTGGGAAAAAAACAGGAAAGCTGGAAGAGCAGCACTGGTGAAGCTGCCTGACAGAAGTGCAGGGTTCAGGGTCTTACTCTGCAGTGACACAGAGAGAACCTGAATTTCTTACACTCCCGTCTGAGGAGGTTTAGCACTTCACTACAGGTCCTGCTCAGTCTTTAGCACATTGGCCAAGTTAGTAACCCTTACTCTGTGGCTTCCCAGGCTAGTTCTCTTCTTAGGAGTTAGGTAGAGAGGGACATCAAACTCTGCCTACTACCCTGAGATACGCTCAGACAGCAGCATTTGGATACATCCAGGGCCTCTTCCTAGAAGTTTAGTCCCTATGCCAGTTCGTGATATGAGGAAAAGCAGCTTTTCTTAGTCTTCCAAGATCTGGTGTGTTTGCCCTGGTTTGAGTTATGCATCAACAAATACGTGGTCTAGGTAAATCATACCACTGTTGGCTATAGCAGTCAGGAAGATAAATATTTGCCTTATGTGGCTCAAAACCCCCACACATCCTTGTCTTGATGACAGGTAGGTCTAAGGTTGGATGGAGCTTAGGAAGTGGCTGTGCTGAGGAGCAGATGATCCTATCCTGTAACACTGTGCACACAATGTTAAGCCTAATGGGGCTGGGGGCACCTGTCTCCAGAGAAGGCCAGCATTTCTGAGCTTGGGTAAATTTAGGTGCTCTGTATAAGGTAATCCATTTATAACAGACTAGTCACGCTGCTTTGAATACTGGTAGGTAAAATAATCGAGCATGAGGTGGTGAATCTGCATGCCCTCAGTTGCAAGGTTTATACAGTTGAGACAATAGACCTATTCTTAGTTCCAGCTTTCATTTATTGATTATTTTCCTGCAAGGTGTAACTGTGAATGGGCAACTAATTGGAGCTCCTGCACCACCGAACGGCCACAAGAAGCACCGAACTTACTTCAGCACCATCACTATCCTCAGCAATAAGCCAGAAAGGTCTTACCTAGAGATCACACCCAAAAGAATCATCCTGGATGATGGGGAAAGACTTCTTCTGTCCTGCGATCGGAGTGCTGTTGTGCGGAGCAGCAGCCTCGAGGTATCCATCTCTGCCAATTCCAATGTCACTGTGACGATACGAGACACAATCAGCTTTGTCATCCTCATCCACCATTACAAGAAGCCAGCCCCATATCAGAGGGATCACCTGGGGTTCTACATCTCCAACAGCAAAGGCCTCTCTTCTGACTCCCACGGGCTACTGGGTAGGTAATAGGTTCTTAGATTTAGAGCTGTAAGCCAGAGAAAAATGATCCTTCCAAACAGTTTTAAAGGACAGAGACAGGAGTTAATGAACAAGGCAGGTGGGGTTTAAGTTCCCAGGTGAGACTTTTACTTCCACTCCCAAACAACTTCTCTATTGCTAGCATCCCCAAACTCCTCTCCCACCTTTTTCTGTATGAGCTATCTCCCACTATTCTAATTATGTGGCTGTACCTGTTTTTCACATTTCCACTCTTTTTATGATTGTTCAATACAGTTGTCATTAGAATACACATGCCTGATGTTCCCAATATAGAAACAGAAACCAAATATTGCACAAGAACCCTGAATAAGGCACCAAGACAGTCTCTAACAGTAGGCCTAATTCAGAATAGCCCAGGTGCTAATGTTTTTTCAGGACTGAGCTGTTTGCACCTGAGCCTGATTGAGATCACAAAACATTAGTACTTTTTGTGCCCCTTTCTTTCAAATATGAAGTGAAAGAAGACCCATCCCCACATTTTGAGAGCAATAAGGCTTTAGGAAGGCCTAGAAAGACATTCTTTAGAAAGACATTCTCCAGATGGGTAGGTTCTTTCAGCCAATGAGAAGTAGTGATGTTTATGACCATGTACAGGTGCAGAACTCTAAGACTGAAGCCATAGTTTCTGTGACATTCAGGTACCCCTACGTTAAGCAGGAAATGATGCTTCAGGAGTGGGGTTTTGGATTCAAGCTGCTTGTGTATGCAAGCCTCTAAATCCATGCTTAAGTTTGGCCAAAAAGAGCTTGCCCCCAAGAAGGCAAGGGAAGAGAACCTGGAGCTTCGAGCCTAGATCTTTCTGCTTGCTGATAGGCTTTGTATGGGTTATATTATCCTCTAGTAACCACAGCCCACTGAGGGGAACTGGCTACTAGCAGCTCAAAAAGCTCTTTAGCTCAGCCAATGTATCTTGATGAGTAAAAAAACAAATAGGGGTTTATTCCAATGTCTATCTCTATGTTTGTGAGATTTAGAAAAGAATCACAGGACCTAAATTCATCCTGCTATTGCAGAGAAGCCCTTTACAATTCCATACGCTAAGAATCCTCAAAACGTGGTCTATTAAAAAAAAAAAAGACGACTTACAAAATGGCACAAAACAGCCAGTCATGAAGTCTATTTTATTTTGCCTTGCAGGTCAGTTCTTGAACCATGAAGTTAAACTTCTTCAGGAATCTCTAAACACAAGTCATCAGCAGGTTGGTCAGAATCAAACTGAAGCATTAAAGCCAAACCCTGCAAATGCCCTGAAAGTGAAGGGACGGCTCGTTCCTGTTGTGTGGAAGCAGAGGAGGATCTACAACGGCCAGCAGGAAGTTGAATGCTGGTTTGCCAAAAACAATGCAGACAAATTGATCGATGGGAGCTATAAAGACTATTTGGCTTCTCATCCTTTCGACACAGGGACCAGCTTTGGGACGATTAACAGCCTTTAAGACTGATCATAGCAATGCATTGCAGCAGCATGTGTGACAGCAGTTCCCTTCTAAAGCCTCTAGAGCTAGGCAACTTATCAATATTTCTTTACTTTTTGGTGCCAAAGAAACCAAGGCTTTTTGCCCTTGAAAATCAGCTGTGTCTCTCTCATGCCAGATTAACATTGTTCATCAAATTCCTGAAGACAACGAGGTTTGGGGGGAAAGGGTTGAGGACATGGTTAAAGGCGCAATCGGTGCTCTCCCAGTGGGAAGGGAGGGAGAAATGGGCCAGCACTCATATCAAACAGTACAGAGGGGTGCTGGCCTTAAAATGAACCCATGCAGGGATCTGTGCAATACGCCCAGGGGCTGAGGAGTCACCCAGTGAGAGGCACAGGTCATACGGCACAGTGCCTATCTAGAAAGACACACTTGGGTGATACACTTTGCAAAGAAGTGACTTGGAGCACCTGCTCCAACCATGGTCCCTGGGGAAAGGAGAGAGAGAGAGAGAGGAGAGGTCAGTGGATATTCATCTGCAGTGACCCATTACCATCAAAGACATAACAAAGAAATCAAAACTTTAAATCAACAGGCCACAAGAGGATATTGCTTTCTTGGTTATTGGGATGAGGTCTGGATTTGCCACGAAGCATGATGTTCCCTGAACCACTATGGACCCTTAAAGCAGTGGTGAAAACCTTTATGTGATTTATTGCTGTCGCGGTGCACAGGCTGCATGCTTAAAAAGCACCTCTGCTCTTCAGCAGCAACAGGAGTGGTGCAGGCTCCCATTGCATGAAGCATCTGATTTGTAACGTTGCAGGCTTAGTGATTTCTTGAGTCCCAAGTCCCTCAGAGAGAAATGAAGTTCCAGTGTGAGCTTCCAACAGACCTGCCACCTCCTTGGGCACAGCATCATTTCTGCTTAGCAGAGATTTAAATTCACTAAAGGATGATAAACCAGCACCTACAATAGCTTATGACCGTACAAAGCAGCCTCTTGAATTTAGACTAGACATTTCTAGCTGCTTTTCTAATCAGAGAGGAAGTCTTTATTTACTCCAAATTGTCAAAATTTTTTCATCCCAATTTCCCTGGCTCCTTCTCCTTCCTTACACTGCAGGAATTTGTAC